ACAGGCACTGCCACAGGCACTGCCACTGGCACTGCCACTGCTTTGGCTACGGCTACATTACAGCTGCAGCTAATGCTGCTGCTAAGGTTACGCCGACGGCTACCACTGCGGATGCTTCTCCTTTTCCTGTTCTCGCTCCTGCTACTGCTGCTTACTGCTGGTCCTCCTCCTGCTCCTCTTGCGCCACTTGCTGCTGCGGCTGCTGCTCTTGCTTCTGTTACTGCCACGGATGCGGCAACTGCTTCCTGCAACCACCGTGGTCGCACTAAACGTCACACCAGTGGTTGTTTCTCTGCAGTACGCGGAAGCCTGTTGCTCAGACTGATGTCGTCGTTTCACCGATCGGCCCCCCTTCGAAGCAGTCCATGGGCGAGTTGGTAAGATCAGAACCTGTCTATCCCTGCCCCGTAATATGTGTAGAAGAGTCCAGAATCCATAAGCATTAAACCCCATTTCCAGAAGCTCTGCACAGCCTGTCGCAGAAGCTACAATGAGGCTTCGCGCATACTCACTTGGTTGTTGCTCCCGTGCTCCAGCTTGTGGAAGATGTCTTGAAAACTCCGGTCGACGTGGTTCCGGCATACACCTCACTTGGGGGCTTCCGAACATAGGGGACCCTAATATACTACCCTAAGTAGTAGGATCCTTCGTATAAGGCTCCCAAAGTAAGGTTCCCTCATTTCCGGAAACTCCCATTTCGGGATTCACGGCTTCGGACGGCCAGCGGGCTTGGGTTTTACTTAAGGGGCTGGTCAAGCACTACCTAGGCGGGGCACAACGTAGGGGCCGTAATAATTAGAATAGGGCTTGGGGGGGCCATTTTCCTATAATTGTAATGAGGAACCTTCAAAATAGTACAGGTAATTATTCAGGCCCCTATACTACCCTGGCCCACGGGGTTTGGCAATCAAGACTTCTTGTCCTTTTATGGTTGCTAAGACTGCTAGATGACTTGGCATCATCCTTCCTTGCTCTGAGCACTACTACTGTCAGCTAACAATCGTAACAAAGTATACAAAGATGGTAGTACGAATAACAATACTAATAGTCAATCTAAGTATAAAAAAGTAGTAAAAACAATAGTAATACGAAAAAGAAGAAGAGCAAGGCAAATTATGATAAACATAATCATATTAACAGTAGCAACAAGAAGAATAATCATAATTAATTATAATGAAAACCCCTCCCCCCAGCCACTACCCCCGATCCCGCCCTCCTCGCCTAAGGCGTCTTTGATGTGCTTGCGAAGCTCGCCGTTGATCCCGTCCCAGCTCTTCCGCTCCTGCTAGCTTTTGCTGGGGCCAGGCGGGGTTCGAGGAGATCACGGCGGCGATGAAGCTGATGATGGCCATGGTGGTAGTAGTAGCAGTAGTAGCAGTAGTAGCAGTAGTAGCAGCCGCAGTCGCAGTAGTAGCAGCAGCAGTCGCAGTAGTAGCAGCAGCAGTCGCAGTAGTAGCAGTGGTAGCAATACCCTGCTGATGGTCGTGACGTTGGAAGAAAAGCCTACGAAGCCCGACTCCGAAACTCCTTCGCCCTCTCCCACATGCGCTGTCCGAGAGCACACGCAGAGTTTAGGGTTTAGGGTTTAGGGTTCAGGGTTCAGGGGACAGGGTTTAGGGTTTAGGGCTTAGGGTACACACGCAGAGTCAGCAGGCTCCTTGAGGATCAGCTCCTGAATCTGCGTTCGATCCTGGCTGAGGCGTTTTTTCAGAGGTTTCCTACAACTTGAAAGGCAACAGGTGGTGGCTGGGGCTCTACGAAAATTTTTCCAAACAGGGCTTATGCGTGCAAGAGTTGTATCGTTTCGAATGATGTCAAAAGGAACACTGGCTTCTGAGCAAGAGGAAGGTCACGAGGCTGACCTCGACAACGACTAATAGCACTCCTCTAGATTCTAGATGGCACAAGGGCTGCAAACGCAGGACGCAAACAACTTACCTGCTTGTATGACTAGCATGTGGTGGCCTGACTTGCCGGGAACCATCTCCTGGCTATGTGGACACCAAAGCAGGACTGGTAGTGCCGGTATAGAACACTATACAACAACAACCGTCACACTCAGAGCAGAGATAAGCACAATTGTATTTAGAGCTATGACAACCACAGGACCACCGCAGTAACTGCCGGAACGAAACCAAATCCACATGAATCAGCTGCTTTCACACGTCTCAGCCCATTCGACTCCTCCTCTCGCGTCGCACTCGCATTTTCGAGGGACAGGGAGGACAGCTTCTTGCCGATGTTCATGGCCTCGGCGACAAAAAAACCCCTTGCAGCTCAGGCTTGCCCTGAAACCACAGCCAAAGAAGATAGGGGACCCTAATATAGTACCCCAAATGGTAGGATCCCTATTATAAGGACCCCAAAATAAGGTACTTCACATCGTCAGCGTCACCTCGATCACCACCACCCTCGCCGGCTGCATCACTATGTCTGTCGGGTCTGTTCCCGGGCGAGCTTTCATGATGAGGTCAATATTCTTGTGGCTGTTATCCAAAAGCTCGTGAAATCCGTAGACAAGTTCGCCGTACAACAGCTTTCGGAGTAGATGACGTGATTGGAAGAAGTCAGTGCCTTCTCACCGAGGCGGTTGGAACTAACAACTACAATCAGAACCCCAGCCACCACCACAACAACACAACAATGAACGTAGCAGTGGACATAGCAGCATTAACAAGCATGACAACGAAACCCTGGTTGAAACCCTGAAGCCTGCGCCCAAAACCCTGAAACCCCCAAACCCTAAACCCTAAACTCTAAACCCTACAGTAAACCCTATAGCCCTAAACCCTAAACCCTAAGCCCTAAACCCTAAACCCTAAACCCTAAACCTAAGCCTCCATGCAGACGGTTCGCCACTTCCGTGGTAGACTGGCCCAGGTTCAAAACCCCGGTGTTCGTGGCGAAGCGGAGGCCGTGGAAGTTGGGCCTGACACCAGGGTTCCCCTTAAGGAACCCTTGAAGGAACCCTTGAAGATGAAGGAACCCTTGAAGGAACCCTTACATAAAAGGCACCTTTAAAGGAACCCTTAAGGGCTTCTAGGGCTTAGGGCCTCTTATGGGTAGGAGAACTAGACTTATAACCTCGTTTATAACTACCCGACGACCCATGAACCTCCAAGTATGGGTACCCTAAACCCTAAACCCCAAACCCTAAACCCTAAACCCTAAACCCTAAACCCTAAGCCCTAAACCCTAAACCCTAAACCCTAAACCCTAGTACGTTTAACTTCGGGAGCCCGGGAGTTTGAACCGCGCAGGGCGCTCCTCTGCCGCTCGAGGTTCATGGTCTGCAGAAGCTCGAAGAGGCACCAGGACCTTCGGGTTTAGGGTTTAGGGT